AAATTTGTTCAGTAATTTCTTCGTGAAAAACTAACAAATATCTTTCCATCATTATCCATCCACAAAGTATGTATCTAAAAAAAATATGAAGGAGATGTATAACTTTGAGTGATAAGTTGATGTGCAATTTATTGTATAATTAACATTTTTTATTTGAAATTAAGTCTGTTATCAAAACACTTTTAAATAATTAATCACAAATATTGAAAATTATTCAAACTTTTCTGAAAATGGATAGTTAATTTACACGTTGTCACACTTCCACAAGTCCCGTTTAGGCGCTACATTTTAAAACGTATTTTTAGATTTCGGCAACAATAAAAAAATCTGAAAAAAAAAAATTAAGATTCGATCCTTAAAGTACAATCTGTGTGTTTAAAATTAATTTGAATTGTAAGTTACATAAATTTAAAATAGTTTCGATCGCTTTCTAAAAATCAATACTCCGTCGAAACCGATGAACAGATTTCGAAAATTCATACACGAAATTATAGCTGATATATTTTTCTTTAATCTGTATATATTAATTTTAAATTTGGTCAAAATTTTGATACAAAAATATAAGTTTATATAAATTACGTATTGGAAAGTTGAAGTCTCTGATGCGCGCTGTAGCTGCCGCTGACTTTTAAAGGGGAATTTGTGTCGCATAACATTAAAAATTATTCGTTCAGACAAATAAACACCAAAGCGCTAAATCTTGGCGCTTGGATCACATATCTTCTTATGGGTACACTACGTGGATTTTTTTTATATATTTCTGTTTTTTAATAAAATTTTTATTCTTTTTTCTAAAATGCCAGTTTTATATATATATATATATATATATATATATATATATATATATATATATATATATATATATATATATATATATATATATATATATATATATATATATATATATATATAACAATAATAACATATTGTTTATGTACGCAATGGACTGTAGTTAAAAAAATATATTTTTATTTTTCATAGCACATTTGAGAAAATTGTTCAGTTAAATCGTGTTTTCTCTATAACAAAATAAATGCAAGAAGCCTATTTACATTGTTTTTGATTTACGTTTTCAAATCAAAAATTGGATTCCTCATGTGATTTGCACTAATTGCCAATTGGTTCTCAGCTCCTGGTGTTCAGGTAAAAATAGATTATTGAAATTTGTTAAACCAATGATATAGAGATAGCCAACTAATCACGTAACTGATTGTTACTTATGTTATCAAAAATTTTTGGTTTTAACTCAAAAAATAAAAATAGTATACAATATGCAGACGTTCCACCAGTAACTAAGCTGGTCCTTCATTCAGAGGATTTATTAGTTCCCACATCACCTGGCAGTAGTGACCAAACTCACATAGATACAACAAGTAGTATTACAATGCACGAGTATAGTGATAGTGAACAATCATCAAATAAACCATTCATTCATTCAATATATATTTTTTCAATATATATGAATGATTGAGAATAGTTTATTTTATCTTCACAAAAGGTAGTATAAGGTAATATAATATTCAGTTTCATTATCAATTTCCGAACACTTTTGATTTCTTACTATGACATAGTTTTGTGCCTAAACTTGAATGACAAAACAACTCTGTATTTTATGCCTTGATGCAGTCGCGATGTGTTTTAGCGGGTAGCGGGGAGAAAAAGTCCACGCCCACGCCGATATAGTTAAAGCAAATACAAATGAAACACCTTAAGTTTACTATCTACTTACCCTTTAAGTGCCTAGTTATTATTTAATTAATTTTCGCGTGTAAAACAGAGACGGAGTGAGGGTACTGTTTCTTTTCTGTTTTGTAAGTAGTAATAAATATATGCTTGATTCTTTATATATATGATTAATTTTTTGATGGTCAGTCGATTGTACCCTTTAGACAAATTATTTTTGTAAGAACAAATAAACGGTAAATTTGTTCTAACATACCCTTTACCTACTACAAACGACAGTCTCCACAAGTGATTATGTAGTGTGCGATAGCTAAAAGTGTTCGATTGCTAGCAACCTTAATTTTTGACATGTTTTATTGCTAGTATAAAAGGTATGGTTGCTCAAGTCGTATGCCTTAAGGAAATATTACTGTTATATTCAGTGCAAATGAAATAAAATCTTCTGCACTTACTGTATTTAATTGCCTTTTAATTAGAAATTATAGCAACTCGAAAATCTTTTATCAAAATACATATTTTAACGTTTTTCAAAAATGTACCTTAAGAATGTTTAAAATGTTTGAAATAAATGCCTTAGTCATACTTAGAAAATAGACTTTAAGGAACATTTAATAAACTATTGACTTTTTTTTAAATGTAACACAGATGTTACTTTTCATTGCCTTCTATTTGGGGGGCGCTGTAACTAGGTGGTCATGATAACGTTGGTGTGAACTATTGGTATGGATCAACCAATATTGATAGCGATGCAACTATTCTACGATTCAAGTGCAGTATTTTTTCTTTGCCATATTTATTACCTTATAAAAAGTTAAGTAAATTATTAAATCTAAGACATATTGGCACGAATAAGGAATTTTGGACGGGTGCTACTTAAGCAGCAGGGGCTTTCAAGTTTTAAACTAAAAACATTGCTATATGCTAAATAAATATTACAAGTATATATATGGTGACAAAGAAAAATCGTCAGGATCATATTCCTGCCATAAAAAGCTCATAAATGAGTCAAAAATTTTAATGAAAACTGTATAAAAATTTAGATTTTAAATATTTTTTAACGAAGTCGGCCAGTCATTTGCTTGTTTTTTTTTTATATTTTAGTAATTCCGCCTGCGCTATCGGTATACGCTGACGGGATACCGGTGAATATAATTATAGTAAATATAAATGAGGATGAATGCAGTCAGTTAGCCCATCGTGGTGAATTTCATAAGAAATAAAACAACAATGGTATCCAAGAGAAGCCGCATGGAGGTCGACCTGATATACATATAATTATTTATATATTTATTACAGGAATATTGCTAGCAATGGAGTCTAGGATAGCTACTAACAATCCTTTCCTCCTGCTATTTACTTTTTTCTTAATGAATAATATTTGAATGGTAACTTCACCTGCGCTATCTGTATACGCTGGCGTCCTAATAAATAGATATAGGGGGGAAGAGATTGTTAGTAATGTGGAACATCAGGCCCACTGCCAGCAATATCAATGGTCGACCTCTACGTGGTTCCCACTGGTAACTGTCGTGCTGAATTCCAGATATATTCATCACAATAGGTTAATTGACCTGCTTTTACATTTTCACCTATCATCTTTCATTGGTGACCAGCCAGCGTATATCGTTAGCGCAGGCGGGGTTATCATTCCATTGAAAAAATAAATGCATATATTTTTTATTTTTTACGCCACCTATTGTCTAGTAGATACAACTTTATTAGACAATAGACATGTGGTATTTATTAGATTTATGACAACGTAATTACTTTTATTTATTAACTAGAGATGACACTACTTGACAATAGATGGCTTTGAAAGAATAATTAACCCTTTCAGGAAATTAATATTTTCTAAATATGTAAGTGTTTTAATCTATATTTAGCTTTAATAGTGAAAATTTAATTTCAATTAGTTCAATAATATGTGAAATACACATATTAAGCGGCAAATACGGAGAAAGGCATTGTAACGGGGATAAGGGGACCCATTGCAATATACTCTGAGGTCGATATTCACGTTACCCTGCCTGAAAATCATAGAGGTTAATTTTTGATTATTTTAGCACAACAGGCCGCATCATCCTCCCTCACTGGTGCCTCGTCAGATTTACTACTCTAGGTTGAGTTTACTATTTTGCTATCATTCATTAAAAAAATATAATATTAAAAAAAGAAAGTTTTAAGTTCATTCGAATAAATAAAATTCTAATTAAATTTTCCTGTGTCTACAATATAGTCATGGCCAGAATGTATATGTACACGAGTACATTTACGTCGCCGCGGAAAATTAAGACTTCATATAATTGTATAGATTTTGCTCTTGATAGCAAGCACTAGGGTGTTTCGTATGTACTACATATATTGTATATCAGTGTTCTTACCATCTATGAAAACTTATAAAAATATCTAGTGTTGAAGATTCAACAGTTTGTAATGTGTTGTAAAATGTTCGTTTTAAAAAATAATAATTTACAAATTATTAAGCCACTAGACCACCAAGGTGGTCACACCAATTCACTATCCGATAATCACGAATTCAATCAAACAACACAGACATTTGTATTCAAGAATACATCTGTTTGTAATGGTCTGGAGGTTTTCTATATATAATGTAATATATATGCAAGTTGTTCATTTGCCTACTTATATAAGTAGTAGTATTCTCTGTTATTGCATAACTACTGATCTATTTTTGTAGGAAGTACATACTGATTTCTAAAATGCAGGTAGGATCTAGCTCGGAAGAGACATTTTAATTGTTGACCAATTCATGTCAATAAAGACATTTTTTCCAAAAATTCACATTTTCCCTCTGAAGAAAGAGAGATGGTAAGTAAACAAACCCTATTATTATATGTATTTATTTACAAAAAAGTATTTGTCTTAGTGTGAAATTAAATGGCGTTTTATAATGTAATTAATGATATAAGAAGAATCATAATTTTATTTTGTAAATAATTGTATACCTTACACATTACTCATAGTCACCTGCACTAATATCCTCTATTTTTCGTACTTGTACTTCGTAATTCTGCTGAAGAGTTGTTATTATTTAAATAAAGAGGTATCTATGAGTTATTTAGTAGATATTCATAATACAAGCTCACCTAGTTCAGTTTAAATTCACTTAAATAATTGAAAATAAAACCCAACAGACAATATTAAAAATACTGACTGAAATATAAATATGTATAATGGCTGAATTATAAATATGTATAATGTGTATATACTTATCACTTATCACCAATCAATATGTGAACACTTTGTTAATACTTGACAACATAAAAACATTACAGCTAATAATTTAAGATCTACTGTAAAGTATAAACAGGCCATTGGAAAAGTTTATTATGTAATGATATTACAGAAGTAAAGAAATTTTTTAGAGTTTAATAAAGTAGACACTAATTAATTTGTGAGTGTAGTTAGCGCTGCTACCACATCTCCTCTATGCTCTCTCAGAGTTCTTTCAGCTAATGTTCTCGAGATTTCCATTTCTCTTACCTGAAATTGAAAGATAAAATATGAAATGAGCATTAGAATTGATCCATAAAATTAAATTAAATTAGACTGGAACCCCTACAATGACAAATATGTTTTGTGGCATTTTTGGGGCACCATATCAAATATGTAAAAAGGAACTTATATAAAAGAGTAACCATTTTATTTCAGGAAATATAGGCATTATTATGGTATCATTTGTTTGCGAGAATGTTATTGTTTTAGGTAATGTATAAGCAAGGACACATTATTTTCACAAATAGGCAATAAAGACTTGAAATTTAGAGACTGACGCAATTTTTTTTTTATCAAATTTTTGTTGAGGCTTTAGTACATCGGAGTGACTATGCCAACCTCATAGGGATTGTCTGAAAGTCAGTCTGTCAGTCCGTCAGGGACACCTTTACCCACAGATATAACCAAGCTTAAAAATTCCAAATGGTTACTAATTTTCATCAGTAGGATATTAATTATTAGTGGGTGATATGTGGCCGTGTGGCATAGAATAGAGCATTCCTTACTTTCCTGTAGGTGTGATTATAGGCAACTAAGGGAACTTAACGGTTGAGGGATAGGCAGCAGCATCCCTCTTAGAACATTAGCCTAACTGCGGGTGTTAGGGGGGAGAGATTGTTAGTAATGCAGACTACCAGTCCTATTGATAGCAATATACCCTGTTAGGTCGACCTATGGTTCCCAGTGGAAACCTGACTGCCTAACTGACCTGCTTTAATCATCACTTATCATCTCCCACTGGTGCTCTGCCAGTGTATACCAATAACGCAGGTAGTGTTACCCTTTCATTATAAAATTTCAAACTTAAGTAAATTGGTTTTAAGAAAAGAAAATCCATATAACAAAACAAGTGTATTTTCATTTATATGGGTATTTTAATAAAAATTGCATTTTATTAAATTACCAACTCCAACTAATGGTTCCATTTTCTATTTACTACACTTTCAGTTTAAGCTGTATATCTCTATATGAGCGGTAAATATGTCTAATAAAATAGAATAAATCCCAAATTAATACTTACAATTAATTCTATATCATCTTTCTTCACAGATACCTTCTGAAGTTCTTTTTCCTTTTCAAGACGCTCTGCAGCTTCCTTATTTCTTCTATCGCCAATTAAGGAGAGGGCCTGAAAATTTTAATTTACAGTAACTTTATATCTGCAATTATACTATCACAATCTCAATACAAATTTGAAGGATTTCAATTAGGTTGGTATTCAATAATAAACAAACAGTGCTTGCATAGTTTTTTCAGTTTGAAGGGTGGGATATGGCAGGCAAAGGCAGGGTATACAAGGTACACAGCCATAATATGCTAGTCCTCAGGAATGGTAATGCAGACTATGATGTCCATGACAACATGATGTTCATGGTGATGTTTGTTATAGCTGATAATTACCACTTACTATAAATCTGCCTTATATTACTTGGAACATGAAACAAGCAAATCACCAGGTTAACTTGTTTAATATTTAAAGTAGTAAATATAATGTTAAGGAATTTTATTAGATGAAAAATAAAAGAAATACAAAACGATACTTTTACATGCCCTTATTCTATAGTAGTTTTGTAATTTTATATATTTCCAGCCATTCAATGTTTCTCCATTGATATTTATCATTATTATTAGATTAATTTTCATAAATCATACATAGTTACAGTTTTTATTTTTTTATTTATTTACTAGACATACAATAATATGAATATGAGGTAAATTCTAAAAAGTTATGTTCAGTGCTCATCATATAAACTTAATATAACCCACCACCAGAGCATTAAGTTTTAAACTACATACATATTTTTTATGGACAAGATTCACTGATTATGATTGTGGGAGTGTATAGTTATGGAATTTTATTATGAAAGATTAGTAAAGATAGATAAGAGAAAACATTATGCTATTATATGTATATATACCAGAGGGAGACTTTGTACAAAAGTCGATTGCTTGGGTACCTCTGCCCCGTTCGTTGGTACTGCTCAGGACTATAGGCAATGGTTACCACTTTCCATCAGATGGGCCATCAGTTTGTTTGTCATTCAAAGTAGTATAAAAAAAATATCCATTTTTACTTTATCTATCTTGTTTCCAAGTTCCTTATGAAGTTGGTATTTAGAAAAAACCAATTGCAAAAGGCCACTGTCTGCCTTGACATACTATCTTTATATTATTTATTTTCACATTTTAAATGTATATCAGAGCTGGAGAATCTTCTCTTGGTTTACTCTGATCACATTAAATTGATTTGGGTTTAAGGTCTTATTAATATCCAAATCATATAATGAATCAGCATAGTTATATCTTTGCTTAAACAAATCAATTTAGAATGCTTTTTCCTTTCATTCATTGATTATGTTTTATGTATTATCAGTGTGTATAATAAAATATAAATAAATAAATAAATGAATTTAGTTAAAAGTTATCATGTCATATAAAGTTAAATGTATCAGGCTAAGTTGTTAAACATAATAATCTTGCATTAAAGATATGAGTATTTGCCAAATACTTACTCCAGATATATCTTGGGAGGAAATTTCTTTTTCCTCTGCATAATCTGTGACTTTTTCTAAATCAGCTACACCACTATCGTGCTTGGCAGTTTTCTTTTGAGTTTTATCCTTATCATGTTGGATATCATCTGTGTCGCCATTGACTTCTTCATCGGCCATGGTTATGAATGTTACTGTTTCCAATGAAAAAAATTAATCAATCATTTTTAGAGTTTATATTAATTGATATTGTAATCTCTATCTCAAATCAACAAATAATAAATTAAAAGTTAAGGTTACATTACTTACCTATGTTTATAGGTTATGTTTAATTTACGAAAGTTTGATGCTTATTCTTTGACATGAACATCACTATGACAATTGAAAGTGATTATTTAATGCTTGACATTGACAAACATTCGAACGATATTGCTAGAATAAAAAATAAAGAAATAATAAAAGTTAAGTAACTGTAAAAATCATCACATATACTAGAATATATTCTTATCCAGACATATAATAATGAATCCATTATTATGTATGTGAATTAAAGTAGAAAATTAAATAAAAACAGCGTAAAAGGACTAACTTTAAAAGAAAAAAAAATAATGTTATTATTATAGACATCAAAGGTTTTTACTGTATTCATCGATATTAGGATTTCCCAAGGTGGTCTATCTGGCGACCCTAGTTTAGTATTTGGTTTAGTTCATGTGGCAGGTATAAATTAAGAGTCATGAATAAATTATAAAGTGTTATTTTTTCAACCATGGTCCATTAGAAACGAAATAACATATAAATATGAGTACTAGATTAGACATATCTAACATATATTTAACAGATAACTCATAATATGACTAGAAATACTTGTCACTTTTCAAAGATGATAATAGTTCTTGTAAGATTACAATTTTATATATTTCGAGTTATAGTACTAAGTGCTTCTCGTTTTAACCACAGTCTATTAAATGGGTATGAGCAAGATAGGATAATCAACTAAACAATAGATAACACGATCTAATTAAAATTCGCTTTTCAAAGAGAATTTCTTCTTATGAAACGTCTTACTATAATTTTGATTTATTTCAAATAAATACTAGGCGTGTCTCGTTTTAGCTTATGACAATATTATACAAAAGACAAAGACAAGGATAGTTGTTTCTTTTTTTATTGGCTGTTCTGCTATGTTATGTTCAAGCTATGTTAGTAACCGGCTGTTATTGAATATTGGAAATGTTGATTGTTGATAGAATGTTGAATTGTTAGTGATGACGTCTAAGAACCGAATGTTACTATTAGGTTTTTGGTCTAATGTTCCTCCTGGAAACCACCGTATTTCATTATAGTTAAATTCGTCTGGGAGGGCAAATTCCATTGGCTTCATACTCACCTATCTTCTGGCAACGCCAGTGTGTACTGCAGGTGAAGTTGATATTTAATTTTCGTCCATTAAAATAATTACGAATAAAGATAGAAAACAAAAAGTCTTATCTGGGGACTCCCGTACTTTTCAAAGTAGTAATGTCGACTTTGATTTTGATGTAACTCTTTATTGATTCTATGGCAAGTTGGACTGGGTATATTGTACATTTATATATAACTAATTGTATCACTTAGCTTTGCTCGTGGGAATCAATGAAACCACAGAGATAAATGCATAAAACGAAAAGTAACAAATATCTATCCATCTCTTCATCTTCAGAAACTTTCGCTTTTGTAATAATAGTAGATAGTTGTAAAATATTGTTATTGGTGTGGATTCTGAGGTTTCATTTCTCTAGACCTATCTCTTAATATAATATTTTAATTTTATAGTATCGTGAAATTACTATACAAACTTTTATGAAAGTTTTGACATAAATCTATTAGAAATTTAGCTCATATTTACCCTTAGAGTAAAGATTTCGTTATGACATCAAATTGAAATTTTAGAAATAGATAAATTATAAACGGTGCTTCTGAATTATTTACATTGATTCCTTAGCCAAATACGATGTAGGCAATAGAGGGGTATGCATTAGACAATTATAGGCAAAAATAGATAAAAACTTATTTTGATGAAAGATTTTTGTAGTTTTCGTCATCCAATAAGTCATGTCAGAGGCCTTTCTGTACAAAGAAGATGGCCCAGAAACTTTTAATACAAGAGGGCGCCACATGCAGACGATTAGTAATAATAGTTAAAAAATAAGCACTAGCTTATCTATTATTACATTACATTATATTATAGAGTTGTTACAATCAAATAATTCTTAAATTTAAACTATAAGATTTAAACAATAGATCTCATTCTGAAGTGTCATATCTTTAAAATTATCTCTTAACCTAATATTTTAATTTGATAATTTCGCGAAATTACAATTTTATGGACCATCATAAATTAAAATTATTATAATTTTGACTTAAGTCTATTAGAAAATTAATTCATATTAGTCCTTATAATAAGGATTTCACTGTAATATCAATTTTAAATTTTATTGTTAGAGATAGGCTTAGAGAAATGGCAACTCAGAAACGATCTCAATATTAAAAAAAAATCTAATTATTTAATATATTTTGACCCAAATCCACTACTTATTAAAATATTTCATACGATGTATATAATTTTTATGTATACCTTATATTAGTATAGTTCTTACATTGCTTTTGATTATGTCGCTTTAAAATTAATTTTGCACGGCAGATTCTTTTAAAAGTGTGATTACTATTAAATAATTATATATATTTAATAATATAAAATAATAAATGATCCTATTTTTTAATCCAATTTTAATTATAATTATCACAGGCATACATTAATTCTGTATATTCAGACGTGTACTGTTGTATTTTGATTATCTTCATTTTTGTTTTCTGGTGAATAAGGCGGAGGAGGCATGCTAAGATCGTGTATCTGAAAATATTATAAAATATTAATAAGTGAAACAAAAGACATATGGTCATGATTATAACCTTTTGTAATTAGTAAGAGGCATTTGTCGATTTGTAATAGTTGTATATGCGAATGCAACGTTGGAGGGGGGAGCCTACCGCTGTTACTCGGGTGAACATTATATGTTATCGGTATTTTTCATCTCCGAAGTTAGTCGGAAATTGAAATTGACATAAAATTTTTGATGTCCCCGAGATTTAAACTTAAATGCTGCGAAAGTTATGAAATAGGTAATTATGGTAAGACTAATTGTAATACATCTGAGGGCCGGACGCGGAATATGAACACACGGTTAGCATACGATTTTTCATATAAATAGAATAGAGGTAGAAAGTTGACAAAACTTTAGGTCTAAGTTATCATGGCACGCCCCTCTAACTTTTTATTTCAATGTATATGACTATATACAGACATGGTGCTCTGTTTGTTTCTGACGAAAAGTTTTCAGTTGCGGTCCCGCCAGAGGAGTATTATATTCCTTGTGAAATCTTGTGAATATTGTTTATCTACAACAATTTTCAAATTTTCACTTCATAATTACATTTCTAATTTGTCAAAGGTTGCTGGGAGAGTATGCTATTTCGCATTAAGTCCATGTTTTGTACTAGACTTTTCTTTATAATGTGGTTAATAAAGAATTTAAGAATGATATATTTGTCTGCAATATTAAGTATATACCTAAATTGTAAAATTAGGTTGTTCGATTTTAATACTTACAAAACCATCGCTGATATAATTAATACTCGGATACTGTACGGATTCAGAAGGTGCCGTGCTGGAATATCTGAAATTAATTTACGATAATTAAAATAAGTTTTTTTTTTACAACTGATCGACATATAAACACCTCTCAGGTGAGATTTTGTGAAATTTAGAATAACAAACGAGCTGTTGGTCTATCTCTTGGAAAGTGGTAACCGTCGCCTATGGACACGAACAGTATCATGGCCATAATAGAATACGAGTATATTGTGTTGCGTATGGCACTCCTTATGCGTTGCCATTTCTGAGGATTAAGGTTTTATTACTTTTACCCTATAATTTCACTGCCATACCTAAACACCTCCTTCAAACCGAAACACAACTTTGTAAATACCACTGCTTCATGGGAGAAACATGTATGAGACAGAGGTACTCAAGCAATCAATATTTGTACAAAATCTCCCTCTGGTAAAGTTTTTAGTAGTTGCGGCATTGATGAGTCAGTTCGTAAGAAAATTTTATAATATAGTATAGAAACAGATTTTAATCGTCAAGTTTATAATCTATAAATATATTTTATGTATATATAAATATATACCTAATTGTGATTATAATGTTATTATTGCTTTTACCTTGGTGGAGCATCCCTTAATCTTTCTTCTACATAAATTTGTAAACTTCCTATAGACAATCGGCTATCATAGGGAGAATTACTACCGATTGGTCTGGAATCAAAATTTATAAGATGCCTATTAAAAACTAAACTTTAAACTTTTAGTAGAAATATGTCATGACAAATAAGCTAAAAGCCCACCTAATGGAAAGTAGTACTGTTGCCTATAGATACGAACGGTACCATGGATATAACAGAATACATACCATGTCGCCCATAATACCCTTCATTCGTTACCATTCCTGAGGACTAAGGTGATATACTTTTGTACCTTGTAATTTCATTGCCATATCCCACCCTTCAAATCGAAAGACAGTCAGGCAAACACAACCGCTTCACGATAGAAATACGAATGGGACAGAGGCAGCCAAATAGACGACTTTTGTACAGTTTTCCTCTGGTAACTGAGACTAGGAATATCGACAGCCCGTCGAATGCATTCATTACCTATAGATATGTAGTAGTTATCATTCTAAGGACGATATTATACCTCTTTACTCTGTAATATTACTGTTAATCATTCAAATCGAAAGACAGTTATGTAAGCTTAAGTGCTCGAGGACGGTAACAAGATCGACAAAAGCTTTGTGTATAGATTAAGGATAGTATCTGGCATTCTATTTCTAAGCTTTTGTGCAATGTTTCTCTTTAGTAAACTAAGCTCTAGTAAAATAAGATCTCCAACTTTACAACATATTCTCATTATTTGATTTAATATTTATTTACTTTATTATTATTATATTTTTATTGAAGATAATTACTTACGCTTAAATGTTTTGTTCTCTTTTTATTAGGTTTCGATTATTAATTATTACTATTATTAGGCTATAAGCTATTCATGTCACTTGACGGTCGAAAACCATATTAAAATTCGTTATATAGTTTAAAATATCTAAGCGTATGGACGGCGGAAAGCAACTTTGTTTTATACTATGTACAGATAGAGAATAACCTGAAACGTAGTTTCTATATTAACATTGTTTACGAGTACATACCTTATGTTCGTTGCTGCGCACAATTTAAAAAGTAATATGAATGTTGCAATAATTCCGAGTATGAGAGTAGTTCCCATGATTATCTGTGTTGATGAAACTATTAGCATTTGGTCAAAGGTATCTCTGAAATAGTAACAACAAAATTAAATGTTTTAAGTATCTTTTATATGAAAATTTAGGTAGTGTACCTATTTGGTAATTAATCATGAGTAGTTCAAACAAATCTTTGGGATCTGTTGGAAGGAATGCAACATCAGAAGTTTTTTAAATTTAAAGTATACAGACTAAAATTGAAATCTTATGTAAAACTGAACATTTTCTCCAGTTCTATTGAAAGAAACAGCGAGTCAAACAACGCTAAAAATTCATGACTCCGCAACTTGGGACTTAACATTTTTTATCGTTTCTTATTTATTTTTCCTTTACTCTTTACGTACTTACCTATCCATATCTTAAATTACACTACGTATCCTTATGTGAATATTTTATTGTAATAACTATTGGTTTAGCTTACGTGTAATTAGATCGAAAAAGCTCGACCAGTTTCGGAATCATATCGTTATCCTTAGTTATGAGCGACTGTGACGTGAGCTTATGTGAATAGTTATGTAATTAATTATTACTGTACATTAATGCCTATTCTGCAGCAATCCCTAACAATGTGTTATGGACAAGATAACAACCATAATCTTTAATATGATTAATTATGTATAACTATCAAGTTTAGTTAATAAATTTTGATAAAATGAGTGAGCAAGGTTAAAAATGTACCGGCAGATCCAGTCACCAAATGAATTGTAGCAGGGCTGACATACACCATGCCAACAGTGAAGACTGTCACTTCCTGGATGACTGCAGCACATACCAAAACATTTGTCACCCAAACCTGGAAATGTATTCAATTGAATTCTTAAGTACAGTTAAAGGCTTTTCTGTCACGAAGCAGGTGAGTTTGTAAAGCTGTGTCAGTTTTTAAGGTGAGATATAGCAATGAAATTACAGGTTACGGAGCGATAATCTTCAGGAATGTTCTCAGGAATATCATAGTCCTCAGGAATGGCAACATATGGGTTATCAAGGGCGTCACAATATATTTAATGACGCCATGGTACTTTTTTTAATGGATAATAATGGAATGACAACCCTGCCTGTGCTAATGGTATAAGCTGGCAGGGCACCAGTGAGGGATGATAAGTGAGAATAAAAAGGCAGGTCTGTTAGCCTATCGTGATGAATTCACCTGGAATTCAGCACGATGGTTTCCAGGGGGACAGCATGGAGGTCGACTTGGTTAGACATATTGCTAGCAATGGGAGTGGTTGAGAGAGTAGTCCACATTACCAGCAATTCCTTCCCCCATGTTCATGGTACTGGTTATTTGTAGAAGATGTTCTTGTTTCTGCCGTGAAGTAGTTGTATTGTGTTCAGGTATGTAGAGAAAACCAAGTGCAAAAGGCTACTGTTCGCCTTAACATACTTATCTTTAAATTATTTATTTTCACATTTTAAATGTACACACACACACCAAAGCTGGAGAATGTTCTCTTGGTTCACTCTAATCACAACAAAATGATTTGGGTTCGAGGTCTTATTTATATCCATATATTATATATTATCTTATTTATATATTTACCAGAGGGAGACTTAGTACAAAAGTCGTCTGCTTTGACACCTCTGTCCCATTCGTGTTTCTACCGTGAAGCAGTTGTATTTGCATGGGTGTGTTTCGGTTTGTTTTTTTTTCGGTTTGGGATATGACAGTAAATTTACAGGGTTCAGAGGCATAATACCTTAGTCCTCAGAAATGACAACGCATGAGTAGTATCATGGGCGACACAGTATATTCGTACTCTGTTATGTCCTTGGAACTGTTCATGTCTATAGGCGATGGTTACCACTCAGTTGGACCATCAGCTTGTTTGTCAATCTAAGTTGCATAAAAAATTACTATCAGAAAAACTGGCAATTCTTTCAATAAGAAGCCTTTTTGGTTTGCATTCCTATAAAAATGTAGAGTTGTAACGTGTAGTTTGGTTTATAAGTGATTTTGGTCTAGCTGCACAAAAAATAAATAATCATATTTATTATAAAATACTCGACCTTTCTCAATTAACGTCGGTAAGATAGTATTTAATTACATTAGGTATTTTCTATTATCACTGTTACCGGTTGGCCTTCACCTGAATCGTCAAGGAGATGAACACGTTCACGTCTGAAATACCTAATTGTGCTTATTTATTAAATGTGTATACGAGTATGTACTAGTTGCATGTCGCGGCTTCACTCGCGTGAACTAGTATATAAAATATCTTGTGTGCCAAATTAGGATATAACCTACCTGTGTACTAAATTTCATTCAAATCCCTTCAGTAGTTTTTGCATGAAAAAGTAACAAACATTTATCCATCCATCCATAATTACAGACTTTCTTTTTTATTAATAGGATGTTAAGCTATGAGCTAACACTAAATCTTGTTTGATACTAATATAATATAATGTTTAATTGCAATTTATCGATATAAGAGATATTTTAGAAAAGAATATTCTTATATTTTTTTTTTGGAATAGAAACCAAAACAAATACATTTTAGAATATTTCTTTGTCTATCTCATTATCATCATCGGTGTGTATCCGCATTCAACTTGAGACAATAGCAAAAGCTATGCACAATTGTGATTTTGAAAGTGTAATTTTAAATCTAGTATATGTTTTCTGGTATTTATACGTCATTTACAAGTTACTCGTACTTATTTCTAAAATTCACATAAACAAAGTTTTTAATTTTTTTTATTAGAAAGAAGTTTATCAGGTAAAAGTTATAAAAACAAATAAGAATAATAGTAAGAAACTTTAATAAATATTTGTTTCAGGATCATTTATTTACATACTAATTGATATTTATTACTTCATTGGAATATTTAAATATAATATTTATAATGTTTTAAACTTACATCATGGTTGTTTACAATTTCACACATTTTATGAACGAGTTATTTACCGTGATTATTATTATATTTGTCAGCTCTCTCGTTTATAAAAGGTGTAATGTAATATATATTATGAATTAGATTTCTTATTTTTCCTCTGCTACTTTGATTTTTATTTTGTGTTAGTGTGCTAATAATTACGTGAATACGTGAATATTTTTGTATGTTCTTCTCTTTGTGTAATTATACCAGGCTCCGTAGACTCACTGTTGTTTTTTTTTAATTCTAATGAAATCCACCCTTCATTATTATGATCATCACATCAGCCATTATCTATCCACTACTGAACATCGTCTCTATTGCCTCGTCCATAAACTGCCACAAGGAACGTTCCAAGCCACTTGCACCCACTGACTCTATGCAGTGCATTTAAGATTTAGATCGATATAAAAGTATGAATGAAATCGTAACAAAGTTATAATATGGGACCAACACTATTGATGGAAAGAAGAATTATCAGAATTGGTTCGGAATTGGCAGAAATATCGCGTGAGATAGCAAATCATATAATAGTACAAGTGGTTCGAGAAGCTCTGTCTTTTTTGAAGTTTTGTGGTAAAATAGAAATTCAATTATTGTGTTTAAATTCAAACGAGTTGCAGTAAATTTATCTATAATAAAACAAATAATTCTAAATATATATCTATATCAGATAAAAGCTATTTGAGATATTTATTGGCTGTATATTGTAGATACTAATTTGTTTACATTTATTTATCATGAATTTCGAGGTATTACCTGGACATTTTACGCAGGCTGTTTGTAATGGATTTGGCAAATATCCATCGGTGCAGTAACATTGTCCTTTAATGCATACATACTCTTCACCAACGCAGTTCGGGTTACATTCATCTGAAAAGCATGCAAATTAAAGTTTAATCCTATTAATATAATAAATGCGAAAGTATGTAACAATTGATGGATAGATGGATGTTCGTTACTCTTTCACGCAAATTGTACTGAACGGACTGGAATAATAGTTGCTACACAGGAATGATATATTCTATCTTAGTACATAAAACTCTTTATGAACTAATTCACGAGGGAGAAGTCTTGGGGTATAGGTAGTAATATTATATATCTGAAATAAACAAACCCATTGTTTAAATTACCTCTTGGTGCTTGAACGACTTAATTAATCGTTATCAAATTTGGTACACTATATCTACACGTAGCATTTGAGATGAAGAAGATTATAGTTTACTTTTTTCCCAAAGATATACCATATAGGTGAACGAAGTCGGGGTTTAATACTAGATTTTTTTAAAAGAAACTAAGACGAAAACTATACCATTTACTCTAATGTAATATGATCCTAATAGAGTCACACGTGCCTGAATTCGAGTTCACATCTTCGTGAAATTGAATTTAGGCACTATCTATACATAACTGTACATTGTAGTTACTTATAAATATGTCGTGAATAGAATTTGTAAAGTAAAATTATGAAGTTTGTTCCAGATCAGTTAACGTAGTAATATTTACAAGAAAAGATTTAGAAAATGGTTCGAAAATTGTTTGTGGACGAGTATTTACTATATTTTGTAGCAATCTTTCCTAACGATTAACCTAAAAATTTCTTTTAGAAAGATTTTAAAAAGCTATTGTGTAAATTACCTTCATATTCACTAGGATGAGCACACACTAGCACGAATAAACAAGAAAACGTAACCCAATACAACATATTGACTATTATTCACGATTACATTGTGTTAATTTGAAGGGAATTTGTTGTAATACACGCAACATGTTGATACAACAAGTGCTACATCGGGCGCATTTTCCATAAAACACTGCGATAAGTTATCAGTGATCTTTTGTTGTAGTATGATAGGAACGCCGCTACTATATATATATCTACTACCTACGTACCTATATAAAATTTTATGACAGTATTAAAGTATAATATAAAGGTTTGTCATCACAATTTGACGCAGTATTCGAAAAATACATTGAGCTAAGTTTCTGAAGTGAAATTGAATCCGAATTTAAGAGTAGGTATCGCTAGTATAATTAAGGTAATTCACGTAGGTATTGTAACCTTGTTTTATATGTGGTAAGATACTTGAAGTATTATATTCTATTTAATAATTTAGTAACTAGGCAAATATTATTAAGATAATTTTCTATTTTCTAACTCCCAATGTGATCTTTATAAGAATAATATAGCACTATAGTCTTTAATGATTGATCCGTCTAGACATATGTATATATTTCTAGGTTAACATATTGATAACATCTACTCTCATCAAAAACATAAATGAAATGAAAAAAAAAGTCAAGTTCAATATTAAGAATATGCGCAGTTTTCGACTTCACAGACAAAAGAATTGAACTCTAAATGGGTGCTAAGTTCTGTAGATAATTCTGATATTTATAAGAATGTAAACATTCTGAAATAAGTTTAAACACAATTATTTGTTCTTTTTTTTTTTCTTTTACAATAATGTTTTTTATTAAAAAATATAAGTTTTAAATTTGAGCAGTCGAATTATTTACATAAAGCAGATAACTTAGGATAAATTAAAGCTCAAGATTTGTTTTGGATAGTTAACTAATGGTATGTAAGTAATTGTTTATATATTAACTAATTAAGTCAAATCTTGAGCTTTATACGACCGCAAAAATCCATTCGTAGGCGATTGTACTGTACTACTATAGAATTTCGACGACTATAATGATAAATTGTATTATATTGTAAAATTTTTATTCTAGACAATTTACATTGGATAATAATAAATTATTATTAATTATACGTAACTATAAGAAAAATATTGCGTAACACGTATTTTGCCCGACATTTGCATCTTCACGAATTACACACGAAGTAGAGGAGAGTCTATCGCCCTCTCTAGATTTAGTTTGTTAACAGAGTTTTTCTTCAGCATAGAGTGATTCGGAAATTTAAATTAATATTATTAGTTTATTTATTTAGAGTTAGGTTTATGATCTCCATCTCAGTCAATCAGTAATGAAAACACTGATTTTCAATAGACTTTAAAAAGAAAAAGCTTTTCAATTTGGTTGGAAGTTCAGTCCGGACTTGCGACTATTACAATAAATCTTTGTCTCGGGGTGAAGTACTGTTTCGCTCTATTGAGCACCCTGAGCATTTTGGATGTCAGCCTGACCCTATATTCAATTACTCTAGAACTCGACAATGCTGGAAATGTCGACACCGGATCGATGATCAAGAATTTTAATAGTTTTGGAGACGGTAACAGATGTAATTGTAAAGGGTGTTTATAGCGGTGAATGCGTAAGCTTGTGTCTTAGACTTAAATTAGACTAAGTGTGGTTGTCCTCAATAGGAGACGCTAGCAAGAGTACTCTCGATTTCAGGTATCAGTACAACGGAGCGAGGGATATATGCATGGCCTATATAATATGCATTCCCGGTACTATCATCTGTATAAATGTAAATATCGACCGAAGCCAACAAATCATTAATATGCAGTTATAGTGTTGACACAGCCTTGCGAGACACCAGCATTGATGTCCATGCTGTCGGAGCTGACGGTTGTTGCTCCGACTACGATTTTAATGCATCTGCCGGACAGAAAACAGGTGATCCATTTTTCTCTCATTCTCCAGGAAGTTCGTATGAGACAGGGTTGTCTACTACCTCTTACGGGACGCAGGTGCAGGCCTCGAGTTGTAAAGTTATTGCTCGAGCATACTGCGAGAGCCTACCGCTCTCGCCTCAATTAGCTCGCCAATGGGCTAAGTCCGTGTCATTCTAAAATTACACTAGCTGTGGAAGTTCGTATGAGGGTAATTTCGATTGAAGATTAATATGCTTGATCCGATCGAAAGGTTTTATTAAATCTATGCCTATAACTAATGCCTAATTCTTACTTTCGACGGTTGAACAATGGTGTCAAAAACCATATTGGTGATTGCTTAACAAATCGTAATCCTCTAGGTACCTATGGAGCTGCGTATTGATTACACGCTCGATCGATTTTTTTTATACAACTTAGAATGGCAAACAAGCTGACGGCCCACCTGATGGAAAGTGGTAACCGTCGCCTATAGACATGAACTGTACCATGAACATAACAGAGTATACTATTTCGCCCATAATACCCTCCATGCGTTGCCATTCCTAAGGACTCAGGTGTTATTCCTCTGTACCCTGTACATTCACGACATATCCCGCCCTTCAAACCGAAACACAGCCATGCAAACACAACTGCTTTACGGTTGAAACACGAATGGGACAGAGGAACCCAAGCAAACGACTTTTGTACTAAGTCTCCCTCTATCTCCCTTTTTACGCACAGGGTGTTCGAGGGTGGTCTTCCAGTTGGACGGAAATCATCCTGTGGAGTATGATAGTGCAAAAGATATGTAAGTACAGGACATAACTTAGGAGCACATTGCTTTAATACTAATGCCAGTATGTCGTCTTGCCCATTCGACGTACTGAATTTAATAGATAACAATTCCCACCGGATTCTCCGTTGTGATATGGAATTCTCGCATCATGAAGTGGTAGTTGGTATAGTATCTCTAACATCTGAGGCCGAGTTCAAAGGAATTACTCAGCAAATCAGCTTTCTTTTTTGCGCTGATCCCCAAGTTACTATTTGGCTTCCGTAAGTAAATTGGAGGTAAAGACGATTATCTAAAGTTGTTTTCAGCAGCTTTAGCTAGCAACTAGAGAACAGGACTTCTAGAGGGTTGACGATCACCAATTTGGTCAATGAAAACGAATTTATCCCTAGCAATAACTATTGAGCCTTGTTTAGTTTTCGCCTCGTATCAGAAGCATCAGTATCATTTAGATATTATTTGTTAGTATTTACTCGCAATTTTGTCTTTGTATGTATATGAATATTCATTGGGATAAAAAATATAGGGGATGAAATATGACATATTAAATAAAACTAACTTAATTTAAAGCTAATGGCCATTTAATAATTTTTTTTATCTTTTATCACTGATAAAGTTTGATATACAAATTTGTCAAATTCTATAATATAGATTTAATCTTATCTCCTTTTTGTAGCAATAATATGAATCCGAATCCGAGTGACCGAGTAAAAGAATTCGAGTGAATTAATAGAAAGTTCTCGTTATCTAAGCAAAAATGAACTGAAGCAATCACATTTAGTGCGAAGAGATTTCCTTTTACCAAGTAAGTACGAGTGGTCCGATTCAATTTGTCAAACGTTCTCAAAGGAGGCATTGTGTCTGCCATGGGGCCATTTTAAGGGATTACTGATCAACTTCTTATTCTGTAATGAACTGTAAATACTACCTGTATTTACAATTGAAAAAAAAAATACTAATTATTTTAGTAATTTATCATTTATTGAACTTCAACAAGTACCTAAAATGAGTTTTAAAATTACAATTGTCATATAGTTGTAATAGCCTGTACATGGAGTTTTTGAAGTAGACACAAATTAGTCTTGTATTTTTTACTCTATGGGGGCAATGGGTTACAGGGAGTACGAGTATAATTTTAGTGATTACCATGAATCGCTTTTATTCAGATTTATTGTTAATCAACACGAGAAGAAAATTTTCAGTTGCATGCATTGAACGGATAATTATTACCTTCTTGTTCGGAAGTCGCTTAGACAGAATCTACAAAAAATAACTTGTGTTTGTTCAGGTATGACGTTATTAAAGCCATTGAACTCATTACACGGTCATCTTGTTATGAATTAGGTATTATTTTCCATTATAGTGAAATAGAATATGATAGATAGTCTGAATAAAGTAACCAAGTGTAGATGAAAATGGAATGATAACCTCGTCTACGCTTATAGGCTACGCGCGTTGGCGGAGTATGAATGAAAGATGGACGAAGTTGAAGTCGGGTAAGTCGCTTCATTGTGATTAATTCACAAGGAATTCATAAAGGGTTAACTAAGATAATTTTCAGGGAAAATGCGTGGAGGTCAATCTGAACGGGGTATATTATGCTAGCAATTGGGCTGCTAGTCCTCATTACTAAATATCTTCTGCCTCCTGCAAGTACAGAATAGGTATCTAACCACTATATGTATAATAATTACCAATTAAACTTTTCCTTTGTATTTTAAAATAAAGAACTTGGATGGTTTTAATATTCTGATTTATAACACTTGCCTATTAAATCCTTGCAATGATTAGGCTGGTGATACAAGTATAACAGGGGAAAAATCTACTAAATCATTACTATTACGCTTGGAACAAAGTATTCTCAATGTTAGTACTATAACATATTCCAATAGGTAATAAATATATTTATATATTTTTTACTGTAATAATTTTGCTTCCAAATAGTATAATGTGTAATAATAATTTTTTGCATAATTATACATTAATCAGCTACCTACTACGTAAAAGATATTTATAAATAAAGCACATAAATAATGGTAATGAAATGGTGTTATGTAATATCTGTTATAATTCATACACGTACGAATATTAATGTTCGGTCTCATAAAATGAGTAAGTAATGTATCTTATTCAAAGAAAAGAGATAATTCAATAAAATATTTTTCTTATACGAATATATGTTTGTTAAACTATGTACATAAGCTCTGTCTGTTAAATATAGAAATATGCGAAATGAAATGTTAAGGCATTTTTATTTTTTGTATTAAAAATTTGGTACGGTAAATATTAATTTCCTCTAGTAAAAATATTGTTGTCTATATTTTGTTGTGTTAGTATCATCATAAGGTGCTTATTAAGATATAAAAATAATGACTCCAATTTAATTATCTTGTTAGTATTACATAAAATAATGGTGTTGCATGTAATTTTTTAAATAAATCTTCTCTTTATTTTAATGACATATTGCATGAATTTTACGTATTTTGTCGGATTGAGTTTATATGACGAAATTTATAAATAAAAATCTTTGAATATTTTCGTTATCGTTTCATACAATAATGAAATACGAGAATGCTCGCCTTGAATAAAATATGCAATTCTGAACATTTAACCTACTTCATTTCCAGCTTTGGTATTTTTTCCACTCTGTTTATAATAAAATATGAAAGCGTGGTATGTTGTTACGTTTGTTTCAAATAAAATATAAGTCCAACATCGATGTTCGTCTGCATATATATTATTTTACACATGTAGACATTTTAGTAAAGAAAACAGTATATGTAAATACTCGTACATAGTCAGGTATCCCACACAAACATATTGTTTGTATTAATTAAGTTAGTGCTCACATGAATTACTGTATAGGTCACAATTCATCGGGGAAAAAATATTTCATGTTGTGATATGATTCTGCTGGCTTAAGATTATTGTATACGCAGTTTATGCAGGGACCTATGTTCAGCAATGGATGGTAATACAATTATATGTAAATTATTTCAAAATCAGGTAAAAATGTGTATAAAATCATAGAAGTTACTCCTCTAAGTTCATTATTTCTATAGATCCTTAAATCTAAGTAATTACAAACCAAAATCCTTTACCAAGTTAAAGTTATTAAGAGAAATATTATGACCAACGCGTGCGGTGATTCAGAAGATAATTAACCTGGATCCGATTAGGATTATTCTCAAAACAATCATAATACGAGAAAACGGCTCGAGGTTCCGCAAATGGAAATGTCAGCGTAATCCAAACAAACTACCGTCCTTACTGTGCTCCAAGCTATTTCGACCACATCGAATGAGCATTGTCAAATTTCTCTTGGTCATAATGAAACCTTTCGCTAAGTTTTTGAGCACATAGTTGTTTTAGTTCTACTTACTGTACAGGATGTCGCGAATAAGGATATACTTAGAAGATTTAAAAGACTCTAGACATTCTTGTCGTTACTGAAAGAATTAGTTTGAAAATTGAAGATGACAACATACAATTTTGCGTCTTAAATTTTAAATATTACAAAAGTACAGAATAAGTATCTACTGATTCATCATTTTATCTATTATTATGTTTTTTTAAGTATTGTTATTATTGTACTGAAATGTAATCGTCTGCCAGCTTTGTTAATATTAAAGTATAAATGCACATATTATGTATAGGTACGTACTCCTACCTAATACGTGTGTTTGCAATAGTTTGCATTATTGATTTATCGTATTTCATATATATATATATATATATATATATATATATATATATATATATATATATATATATATATAAATGATCTATGTGATGGTATGCCCAGCTCTATATCATCATCGTCATCATCATCTATTGCTACGCTTGGCAGGCGAGTTGCAACGGCAATTAGGCGTTTTGGTATTGTTTTAAGAAGGACGCTTCTGTTCATCCCTCGATCATAAGTTTCCCTAGTCGCCTTTTATGATACCCACGGGAAAGGAAAGGGTAGCCTATTCTATGCCGGGACCACTACCAGGTCTATATACTACTATTATTTCTTTCTTGTTTTATACAAATAGTGTAACAAATATGCCAAATGTTTATATATATTATACACAAAAGTTTTCTATCTTATTCCTTTGTATTGAAATATAGATAAAATTTAAAAGCGAAATGTAATTATAAGTAATTGTAAATACACTAGATAATTGTACTTAATAATAAATATGAGACCAAACTCAAGTCGGCGTCAACATCTTACTTTTTCTTTATGACCAACTTGACACTTTTGTCTAAAGAAAAGTTTTATCAAATTCTATTAGAGAACTCATTTATATTCAAAGAAAATGTCCGAGCTGGATGATATTTCTGGTAGAAGAAAGATTATTTGAAATATGCGGGATGGATTATATAAAAGAAAGATCACGGATTTTATTCATTCGTATGTTATTATTACTTATTATTACTTCTTTAAAAAATGTGTAGGAATATATGTACCTAATATAATATTTATTTAATGATGTAGATGCTGTTATCAAAGATACATATGATTATATACAGACATAGACTAGATAGGTATACTTATATTTAGGTACATTATATCGATGTTTCTGATACGTGACATATCTAATCAACGAGTTTTGATATTTTAGACAACATTTATTTTTGTAATCAGCGATCTAATAAATTAACATACGACTTCACCGTACATATGTATACTTCAATAGAATATATTACTAGGATTATTTCTATTCGACAAATACAGAAAAGTTTCACTGATATATAGATGTAGCAAGTATCATGCTTTTATAATTACCAATGTCCCGAACTTACGCGGTAGAGTGATAATCGCTTAAGTCGAATTTGTTTAAGTTTGAATATACTCGTAATTTTGCATATATTTATATATAATTATATGTGTAAAATTATAAACAGAAGTTATTTTATAACAGATAAAGAAATACTTCAAATTCAAATTTAACAAATCAAATTTTTTCGTGCAAAATTTTTTTGTTCCATGAAAATATGTTTTTTTTTGTTCTCTGTTTGTAGAAGTACGCTATTTATTGGAAGTAAGAAGTGATTGTTTTAATGTAATTTTTAGAGATGTCATTGCATGTTTATTTATAGTATATATAATCCACCGATTAGTCCTGTAAGTAAAGTTAAATATAGAAAAAAATATATGATCTTTTTTTGACATAGGCATCGACCAAGAATTAATTTCATGAAATTCCTAAGATAATGACAGATAACAGGTTCCGTTCCTATGTTAAAACATCCTAAATATTTGTATTTTTTTAAATTTTTTGATATTTGTTGCTTTGTTGTAAAAGAGGTAAGTTGAAATCAAAATTTATTATAAATATACATGTGGAATATATTTGATAGAATGAAAAAATCTATTCAAGGTTCTAGGGACATCGGTATTTCATATTTTTAACTTATAAATGACAAAAATTCTAAAAATAATAATTTAAGATTGTATGCAAAAAAAAAAAAAAACTCATTTGTGGCTAAACCAGTTAAATAAACAAAGATAAATTAATAATTACATTTATGAATATTTTAAACAAAAGGTGTTAACAAAACTTATTTTTTTCTTGTAATAAATTAAATTGATTTTTTCTCTGCAATAAATGAAATATCGGTGTTCCAATTATTTTATCCGTATTTATTAATATATGTATTCATCAATCTATTTAGATTGATGAAAACATATTTTTGTTATAAGTATCTGTATTTTACTTTATTGCCTTGGTAGAGATTACTCGTACTTACTAGAAAATTAATTGGACTAAGTTTTAAGTAGGTTTTAATGTTAACTTTTAATAAATAATTACATCATGTAAATTAGCTTAGATAAATAGGGATTGTTATGACAGTTGTCCTCGATAGCGTAGAATATGCAGCAACTACCCTAATAAAGTTTTGGTTGGGTAGCCCGATTGTACTTGCAGATGGTACCTGAATTTATGCAAACACTAGGCTAATCTCATCTAAATTTGCCTTGTCAAATGCCAAATACTGCGAATAAATAATATCGGTTTGGTATACTATAAATCCGTCCATTTAATTTTGTGCTCGAGGGAATCTCTACGAAAACTTTTCGAAAATATCTCTACGGACACTACGGTAATTAAAAAAGGGTGTGCAAAGGTTTCTTCAGAGTTGGCAACACGCACGTACCATTCTGGTGTGTCTGGGCTGTAGATATGTGTCATTTTTATGGTACAGAAAACAAATATTTACGGATCGATATTTGTGTGTAAGTTCCTAAATAGAAAAATTTGGAGAGTAAAATCCTATTTAATAAAGGATTATTGATAACAAGTAGGAAATCGGTATCTGCAACTATCCAAAGAGAAACTTTGCCAATATCGCTGTTAACTAAGTGACCATTTTGATTACGTAATATATTACAACTAGGTATAGCAAGGATTATAATGTATTTAAGTCACTAAATCCTTACTAATATTATAAATGTGAAAGTGAGTTTGTTATTTACCTTTAACGGTTGAACCAATTATAATGAAATATGGTATACAAGTTTCTCTGTATAAACTAGACATATTAAACCTAAAGCTTATTTTTTATATAAAAGAGATTATTCTAATGAAAATATAAACAAATTTAAAAAAAATTTTTGATTCGCTTATCTTTTGTTGACGTGTATATGAAATAAAAATTAACAAAGCGTATAATGAATTTCAAAGTACTATACATTTATTTTATAGTGTGTTTCCTTGTCATTAAAATAAAAATAAATATACAAAAGAAAATAAATAATAAGAAATGGTTGACGCGAAGCTTAAAGATTAGCTGCAATACAAAAAGAACACTACAATTTCAATAGTATAAAAATAAAATTACTAAAAACAAATTTACAATATATTCAAAAACTCTAAAGTACTGTTAGATACATTGTTTTCTCAACGTAATGAAAATAAAAAAAGGTCATAAATAAATGTAAAAATAAATATAAACCCGCCTGAAAAATTATTAAATATATAACAAGTATTATACAAAATAATGATAATATAAATATTATACGCTATGAAAACCAAGACCTTACAAATCCTAATGATATTGCTAGAGCCTTCAATAAACGTTTTGTATATTTGAACTCAGACAAAAGTTCACCAGGTATAAATGTCGCAACAGACGAAAGACTAAAACTTAGACTAAATAGAGAGATATATAAATGTTAAACTTGATATATTTAAAATATATGGAATATGAAGTAAAAAAAAAAACAAATAAAATATCTACAAGAG